TTTTCAACAGTTGGAACTAGGCCAATCGAAAACGAGTATGCTTGACGATACATATCAGCATGAAAAAATGGTTCAACAAAAGAATTCAAATTCTTTTCACTCTTAAAAATTGCAGCAACAGCATGTTGACATGGATACCCATTTATTTCCCATTTTCGACATGAACAAGTTATCAACCCAAAATCAACCATAACCGAAGGAAAACAATGCACTTCAAAGACATTATTAGATGATAAGCTCATATTCCATGTCCTCCCATCCAAGAAAGACTTCTCCAATACACTATCCATACGAGGACAGAGAATTTTATTCCATTTACTAAAGAGCAGCCTCCTATCAGACCTCATATTCATCATTTGCAACTGTATCATGCCCACCAAATTTGTTATTGGCAAGTGTTGAGCTTCTCGTATCCATGAATTGAATGACTCAGCAACATTTGAATACATCTCACCATAACGTTTCCCCTCAAAATATGCATCACTCCAATTTTCATATGGTAAACTTCTCAAGAAAACACTCACAATGTCTCCTCCCTCACTTTTTAATTCATTTAACTTGAAATGAAATGATGCCTTTGTTGGAGCATATGCACATTCTGAAAACTTGGACACAATCGTCTCCCTAACCAAATTTGTGTTTCCACATGACAACTTATCCCTCAAGTTTCTCTTTAGATGTTCAAGACAAAATCCATGAAAGCAGTTAGGGAAAAACCTAACAATTCCTTCCACAATACCGCAATGTCGATCTGACATGAAACTTATCACTCTCTCTGATCCCAATACTTCACATAAATGTTTAAGGAATCAACACCAATTGTTTTTATTCTCAGCATCAACAACAGCAAAAGCTATAGGAAAAAAAAAAACCTACAAAATAAATAGGAACAAGCATATTCGATATACACATGTAGAGAAAATTAGAACAATAAATAACCAAAGAAATTTGATACTACCAACATCCAGAGAAAATTCACACAATGGCAACCTCCAGACAAAATTCACTTAGTGCCCAACTCCAGAGAAAATTCACACATTGGCAACATCTAGTGAAAATTGACTTGGTAACCAACTACAGAGAAAATGCACACAATCAGAATATCCAGACAAAATTCACTTAGTGACCAACTACAGATAAAATTCACACAATGACAACATCCAGAGAAAATGCACACATTGACCAAAATCCAAAGAAAACTCTCACAGTGGCCACAACCAAAGAAAATCCACACAGTGGCCAAAATCAGAGAAAATTCAAAGAGTCAGAGAAAAATCACATTCACTCAATTCCTACATGTATAGAAAGTTCACATACTTAGATAAAATTAGACATATTTACAATTACCTTCATTCCCATCTTTCCCCATCGCAGCAAGCATAACTCCTTTATATCATCCTTTCAAAAATGTTCCATAAAAAAAAAACAATGACCGGCAATATTCGAAACAAGCAATGCATGCATGAAAAGCCACAAACACTCTTTTGAAACGCTTGTTATCTTCAAAATCTAACTCAAAACGACTACCTGGATTCTTCTTCGATGCCTCATCAAAATATCACCGTAATTGATCGAATGACAAACAAGAATCCCCATATGTACTACATTTTACTTTTTCAACCCCCAACCAACCACAGTTATAACTGATTGAGACCCCATACTTGTCTTTCATTTCTTTGACAACATCCACTGGATGAGTTAAAGGTTTTGCACTTACCTCTTTAAGTATCAGCCCAGAAACTAAGCTGGAAGTCATCCTAGCATGTTTACTAGTACGAACCGCCACACCACACGCATGTTCATTGTTCAAAGTTCTTATGTAAAATAACCCATTTGTTTTTTCAACTGAAGCATGTGCACGCCATATACATCCCCTTGATTCCTTATATGCATATTGTGTCGTAACCCTCAGCTTGTCATTTTTAACATACGTAAATTGAAAGCCAACTTCAATAGCATACTTGCATAAAACAGTATGAAACTCAACCACACCACCCTCAAACTTTTGTCCAACTCTCGTAATATTATTTCGCCAACCAGCTGACAATAACACCTTTTCTTGGTGAGAACAAAACTTAGAGAGTGATTTCCTTTCAATATCCACCAGCCTATCACATTCACCATCCACAACATCTACCCAATTAGACCTCACTTCATTCTCTTGATCAGAAGTACTACATCTAGTAACTGAAACATCAACTATATCAATACCACGTGCCCAAACAATCCTCAACGTATTTAGAAAATCAATATCATTTCGAACCATACAATTCGGATGGCCCACAATTGAATATGAAATACACATCGTCTCAGGTTGCAAATTCTCCTATGTTTCACACAAAATGCCAACCAATTTCTCGAAATTCAATTCGCATGAAATATTAATGACAATAGTATCATTCCCATATTTGCACAACAAGAACACTACACTGTCCATCAAAACTGAAAGAAAAAAACAAGAAAAATAATTTGTTCAACATAAAAACACATCACAAGAACAACATAAAAGTCCAAAGAAATTTCTAATAATTATAATTTTCTCTGGATTATAATAACAAGCTTATAATTTTCTGTTGACTCAAATAAAAGTTCAGAGACATTTAGAAACTTATATTCACCTTCGAGATAATGAAAACAAAATTACAGAAAAATTAATGAATCCAAAGAGAATCACAGAGAAATTTACTGTTAACTATTAAACACAATCATAGACAAAAAACACACAGAAGATCTGTTTTAAAATTATAAGCTTCTCTGTGATTTTCACTGAAGTACAAGCTTACAATTTTCTTTGCGTCATTTTGCAATATTACACTCATATCAAAGTCCAGAGAAATTTACAAATTCATATACACCTTCAAGATAACAAAAAAACAGTGCACTGCTCATCTAAACTGAAAGAAAAAACACAAAAAAACTTTTGCTCAGAGAAATAAAAACTTATATTCATTTTCTACAAACTTATAATTTTCTTTGAACTACAAACTGAAAGTGAATAACAAACTTATAATTTTCTCTCAACTACAAATAAAAGTCCAGAGAAATTTAAGAACTTACATTCACTTTCTCAGATTCTATCTGCATTAGAAATTAATAATATGTCCATATGAACTTATAATTTTCTCTGTCATTTTTGTTAGATTATAATAACAAACTTACAATTTTCTTTGGATTATACCAACAAAAGTGCAGAGAATGAAATTTCTCTAGTTTAAACAAATTACTATGGTTTGAAAAAATAGAGAACAAAACTTATCATTGATCAACATGTTGATGAAAAACAGAGCACGAAAAATGAACTTTGATGAGCATGTTGATGAAAAACAGAGCATGAAAAATGAACTCTAAACATCAAAATCAACCACACTGTCAACACTCTTTGAAATTGATCAAAAAACAGATAATGAAAAATTAATTCCAAAAATAAAAATCAACTCTATCAAGCTGGGCTTTGTCTAAAATTGATCAATAACAGCAAATGAAAAATCAACTCAAAAAATCATAAACAACTTCACTGAGCTAGCCTCTCTTTTAAATTGATCAAAACTGAAAACAAAAACCTAATGCAAAAATACACTCGAAAAACTATTATGAAATCGGAATCCTTATATAAAATTCAAAACAAAAATAAAAAACTCATGTGGAATCTTTATTGAAACCATACCTGATTCAACTCAACTGAAAAACCTATGCGATCAACACACTATAACACCTATACGATCGTCGTAATCTCTATCGTGAAGTCCACTGCAACACTTGCAAAACCCCTACAAAATCTCCAACAAAATCTCTACCGTGAAATCGGTTTCCAAAATCTCACCGTGAAGTCAGCATTGCCAAAATCCAAACAATCTTATGTTATAACGTGAGTAAATTAGATATTTTATAATATAAAATAAAGTTGATGGATCTTAGCCATCATAACATATTATTGTGTACCTCTCCTCCTATTAAAAGTTGGAGAGGGACCTTAGGACAATTTTCCCTTTTATATATATATATATATATATATTTTATTAATGGAGTTAAGATTTGCATTAAAAAAGTAAAAAATAGAGGAGTCATGAATCAAGTGCAAGTCATATGACTTTATCCGACATGGCTTATTTTGATTGGATGTATCCTTGTGTTATGTGTTCTTGTCCGTAGCTCTTCACGAGTTCGGATCCTCGGTCGCCATTATTTGCAACCCTTCCCTGCAGCGCCCTAAAATGATGTCGTTTTGGGGCAAATTTTCAAAAAAAAACAAATTTTCAAGGGAAAAAAAAAAAAAAAACCTAAAAAGGGGAAAGAAGAAAGATAGCAGCGATGGGTAACCCACCATCGTGAACCCATACGACCGTGAGCCCATAGCCGGCGACCTTTGGCCACCTTTACCTACGGCGCCACCACCTTCCCGTCATCGCCGCTGCAACCCACATTCCCTTCCTCTTTTAATAGAGAGAGAGAGAAAGAGTTCAAATCATGGGCTAAAAAATATGATGAAAAATCAAAGTTCATCACCAAAAAGTCAAAACCTCAAATTCTCTCTCTTAAGTCTTTCTCTCCCGACCGTCAAGCACCGCCGTGTCAAACTCACCTCACCTCCTTCATCTTCTTCTTCAGATCGAGATGGTGGCTCGTCACTAGTGGCGAGATCAAGATCGCAAGAGAGAGAGATGGCTCGTCGTTGGTAGCGAGATCAAGATCACGAAAGAGAGAGAGAAGAGGGCTCGCGAGATCAAACCCACCCCACCGCTTTTTTTTCTTCTTCTTCACCCTTTCTAGGTTCTGTTTCGTTTGTTTTTGTTTGTTTGTTTGTTTGTTTTTTTGAAAGGGTTACAGATAATGGTCATGTTTGGTAGAGTTGTGAGAAAGTAATTATAACCTATAAGCTAACAGCTTCTAATTCATAATTATGAACCAAACATATCAAAATAATTTAAATTAAATTAAGAATTAAAATAAACTAAAAATAATTTAAATTAAATTAAAAATTAAAATAAACTAAAAATAAATCCTATCAAACAGTGTCGATAGCCGCCGAGGATCCGGACTCAGCTCTTCACGCCCAACGAAATTAGCAATATACGCTTCCGATTACTCGTTTCGAGAGCAAGAAAACCAACCCTTCACAGAACACAGATCGATCACAAAGCAACGATTACAAACCCTAAATTATACGTATATACACGCATATATATACACCGTATCTTCAAATTTCTGCGAAGGAAGAAAAGTATCAGACGACGAGGGCGACATCGACAGAATGACGGAGGACAATTGTTCTAGGGTTTCGTCTGCCGAATCCATGGCCGCCGCCGAATCATCAACAACTAAGCAGAGGTGAAAAACCCTAGTTTTCGACGCTTCCTTTATCGCAATTCAACCAAAAGATGGATTTATTGAGGCTGTATGCATCAAGATTGTTGATTTTGCTAGATTCATATCAAATTACCACGTTGGACACGTTTATAAGTTTCCAATTATGTACATATATATTTGACGCTCCCTCTTGTCTTGGTTGATGATCATTAGGGTTTTATCTTTTTAGGGCTCCTCTTCCTTTTCTTCTTCTTTTTATTTTATTATTTCAATTAGTAAGAGTTTTGAGTTTTGTTATATGGAGTTATTGAAACAGCTGTGTAATTGTGATTTATTTACATTTGGGTATATTAAGGATCTTCTGAACTATTTATTCTCTTTGAGGAAAGAAAGAGAAAAGTATAATTTACATATGCACTTTATGTGAGAAATAGTAGTTTCAATTCAAAGCAGGGTTTTTGACACATATGCTGATGAGAAGGCAAAATTATTCCATATTGATAAAACCATGATTTTGAGTATTTGCAATTGGAATGACATTAGTTAAGACTGTTCTATAGAGTTTAACCCAACTGAGCAAAGTCACAAATCCGTAGCTTGGTGCATACACTATTCTTATTATTTAATCGAGTAATAAATTTTGCAAATAGTTAAGTTAATGGTTGGCTCAAGTGATATTTAAACTTTTAGGACATTTTGCAGGAGAAAGAGAAAGTGGGATCAGCCTGCTGAATCCTTGATTACAGCTGGAGTAGCAGTATCTGGGATTCTTCCATCGAGCAACATTGGATCCCTTGCTGCGATTAATCTTCCAGGTGCTTCTTCAGCTTCTGGAGCTCTTTTGGCAAATCCTCTTACGACTAGCCCTGCAACTATATTACAGGTGTTTCAGGCTCCCTTAATACAGCCACATGCCACTGTGGTGGTCCAAAAGATAAATCAAGTAAGATGCCTTAACGGGAATTGCGACAGTCCTTTTTGATTCATATTTCATAATAACTGTGTGTTTTACTTTGGGTGTTGTTTGTGAAATGGTGTAGATCAGAAATGAAGATGATTAAGAATGGGTTTTCTGCGTTTGTTTCTTAAATTTGATATTCGGTGTCTTTTTATCTTTAATTTAAATGTATGTTTCAAATGTTCATGTTTACTTATTGGTAGGTGAGTTCATTGGAAATTGTTGGTTGCTGGGTTTGATGGGTGACATCTCCAAAACTGGACATCTTAGGTTCACCTCTCTTTGGATTTGTTTGTTGCACAAGGTTTGCGAGTGGTAGGTGTATCTATAGCAGCTATCCACTTTTCCAAAGTGGGGTTGAAGACACCGTGGGTAGTGGAAAATATATACAAAATAGTATGAAAAGTAAATTTAGTGTTGTGCATTGTTCAGCAAAAAAGCTTTGTGACTGAGTTATTTAAGTGATTCATCATACACGAGGACCCCAATGACACAATAATCAGTTTATCCTCAAATGTTTCTTATATAGTTGAGGTATATTAAGATGGAGGGGTGGCATGCAAAATGCTTTGAGTTGAGTGCAAGATTAACCTATTTTATTTAATATTGTTACTTTTTAACTTTCCCTATTTTTGAGAATTAAATCAATAGGCTGCTCAAAATTTATGTCTTTTGAACACTATAAGAGAGGATGAGGTCTTTAGAGGACTAAGGAGTGATGCAACATGGTAAAATTGAAGTGGGTATTCAAATGTAGGGTTGCCATATCTTTGACAGGGAAGGAAGCAGAGAGGAAGGTGGAGTATATCCAAACATGTTCTAATGTGTGTGAGGTTCCAAATACATATTGGAGATGATGGGTGGGATAGAATGTGGTGGAGTATTCAGCTAACTTTCCTCCTTACCATTATTATATGGTGATATGGGTGAATTTGGGGAAGGGAAAGTACCAGGGTTTAGGGTTGAAGCGTAACATTCCTTGTCCTTATTATATATTTATTTTCAGCCTAGATTATAGTTTTGTTTTATTGGTTTAATCATCATGTTTTATAAATGTTAAAGCTCCAATCTGTTGAAGTGTAATCTTCCTTGTCCTCACTATATATTTGTTTAGAGCATAGATTATTGGTTTGTTTTAAATCTCTATTAGTTTTTGAATAATATTATTTTTCTGCTGTAGCAAAAAATTCAAGATGAGTTGATAGCTCGAGAAATTGTCATTAATGATGCTGATTCTGCTGTTCGCTACAAACTCACAAAACGTCAGACCCAGGAAGAGGTGAAAATTATTCATTTGGTTTTCATGATTGAAGGATAACTTTCTATTCTGTCTTTAAGTTAGTTTTGAAAAATTATCACTTGTGGGATTGATAGTTTCTTCTACTAACCTTGCAGATCCAAAAGTGCACTGGGGCCGTAGTAATAACAAGGTAAATATGTCATCAGGTGTAATGAGGTCCTTTGTGCCGATATCTTATTATTGTGTATAATGCATTTGATCAAATTATGTTGGCAGGGGCAAATATCGTCCTCCAAACGCAGCCCCTGATGGTGAAAAGCCACTCTATCTTCACATTTCTGCTGGTGCACATGTAAGTGCTTTATATATATTTATTCTCTCCATCTGTGGCAAAGGTTGAATAAAATGGTTGAACATCTGACATGGCTCTGTGTTTACCTATGGGGCCTCTAATTGGTGTTACTTTTACCAGCAAGACCAGGAATCTGTGCCTCTTCACTTTGCTGTTGTTAAGTAGTTCTGGGTATTGATTCCAACCATTTTAGGGATCCCTTGGGTTTTCCTTTGGAGGGTTTTGGAGGGGTTGCATAGTTGGTGAGGAGGTAGAGTGGGGAAAAGAGGAGGAAAACGTTGCCAGTATTGTCTTTCTGCTTGATGCAGTTTATTTGGGGAGAATAGTGTAGGAGAACTCTCAAGGGTATAGAGCAGCCTATATATATATTGAAGAATAATTTTTGGGTTATTTTCTATAATTGACTTTCAAAAAGGGTTAATCCCAACCTTGGTTATTTAGAAACCATAGATGTGTAATGCGTGTGTATATCTTTCTCATTGACCTCTTGTTTGTTTGTGAAGTTCTTTCTTTTTGTTTTTGTATACAGCTTGTATTCGCTTGATGCTCTCTCTCAATAAAGCTTATTATTCATTAAAAAAAAAAAAACCTATTTAATATCTATGGCTCTTAATGATTCCAAAAATGGCTCACAAATCTCAACTTTATTTGTCCTTGTAGATCTTGTATTATGAACTTTTTTCTTATATAAAGAGATTTTCCTTTTATTTAATACATATGTTTATCAGCAATTCCAAAGATGGCTCACAGATCTCAACTTGTTGTCTTTGACTCCTTGTAAATAAAGTGTTATGAATTTTAGATATTACTTGTAAATGTTACTTACAATTTTGATCAGGGCAATTCAACTTGCTGGTATGGATCAGTTCATCACTCAAAATTGCAGTTGCAATTTATTGTATTACTATTTACCAATTATATTTTTTCCTTTTATTGTTATTTTTATTTAGCTTGATTTTAATATCCTTAAATTATGGTTTGCTTTTGCAGTTGGAGACGACAGTGGAACGGATAAAATCTGTTGATCTTGCAGCTGCCATGGTTGAAGAGGTGCTGAAGCAAGGTTCTGTCAACAATGTTGGAACGGTAAATGTCTTGCACTTAAGCTCTATAAGCCTGCAGAATGGGGTTGACAAATAATTTTGACTATTTGAAACAGGTTACTAATCATCTGAGCACATGTGTGTATCTGGGTTTTGAAGCAGACCCATCCTTGAACATCGCTGCTCGTATTCGTGGGCCAAATGTGAGCCTCACCCCTCATGCGATTGTGCATTTCTGATTGTGTTGCTTAGCTTGTGCTTATTCTTTTATAAGGGGTATTGTATGGTCATATATGGATGTTTTGCTTTAATTTCTTTATATATGAATTTTTTATGCATTCATCTGGCATTGATACTCATTTTTGCAGCTTCTTCTTCTTTTTCCCCTTTCTTTCTTTCTGTCATTTTTTGTTTGGTTCCTGTTATGCTATTTGATGAATTTAGTTCAAAGTTTATATTGTTCATGATGAAGATGAGAGATTCTAATGTTTGAAGCTTTCTCTGACATCTCCATGCAATTGGGAGAGTTGTTTTTTTCGTGTGTTGGTGGTGGTTGGTTTTTGAACATGCAGGACCAGTATGTAAATCACATTATGAATGAAACAGGAGCAACTGTCTTACTAAGAGGACGTGGTTCAGGAAATTCTGAAAGTGCATTTGGCGAAGGTTGTACTTGTGGTGCCATGCAACTGTTTTGCAATTTGGACAATATGGATTGTGTGCATATTGTTCTTCAAAGCACTGACCATATTATTACTGTTACTTTCTATTCTTGCAGAAGGAAAGCAGCCACTGCATTTATACTTGTCGAGTAACAATCCAAAAAGTATTGAAAGTGCAAAGCTTTTGGCTGAAAATCTTTTGGATACAATCAGCATAGAGTGCTGTGCCTCTAGGTAATTAGGTTTAATTTTTGCTTATGTTTATATTAGAGTATATGTGAATATTCTCAATAGGAGAATTCTGTCCTCTAAAATTGGGTGAGGGTAACTTAGATTTTTTCTTTTCTTATTTGATAGGTACTTGGAGAATGTAAGCATTTTGGGTAATATGTTGGCATAACATTTTTTATCCTCTTTTGAGAGTTCATATGATGGTCTGTTTGGTGCAACTAAAAGCTAATAATTAGAAAGCAGAAACTAAAAGCACCCATCCCGATAATCAACCTATTTTTGCCTCATTAGCTGTAACCAAAAAGCTGCACTGCACCAAACACACTGGCATAAACTCCTAAAAGTTAAAAAGTAATTAGCAGTCCCTATAAGCTGCACTAAACAGGCTGAGCTCTTAGAAGATAGATAAGCTTCCCCCCCCAATAATATTTACAATTTAGAGATATTTGTGTTTCATTGAGCATGTAGTATTCAGTACTCCTTTTCTCTGCAACAATATTTGTTTTGTTGTTGATTTTTTTTTGTTTTTTGTTTTTAGTATCTGTTCCATCTGTGCTTTTGCATGAATGTGTTGTTTGTATGGACTAACTGGTATGATATGGTTGCATTGCTTTTATGCCAATATATTCTTTTCCGCTTTCAAGGAGAATAAATTGTGGTGATTATTCAATGTCACAGGGTCTCATCAAGCAAGGTGTATGGTGCTGTTCCACCACCACATCAGTTGCTGAATGGAGTTCAGAGTTCTGGGAATGAGGTGGAGGCAAATAATAGTTCAGCTGCCAGTTTGACATCAGTACCTGTGAACTCTGTAGCAATTCCACCAATTTCCTCAGCTACACATCCTGGCATCACCACTACCCTTCTTCAGGGGACTTTGTCACAATCCATAGGACTGAGCTGTGGGCATTCTCAACCAAACATAGTTTGCCATCCCAAGCCTTCGTTAACTGGTGGAACGAGCTATAGTGGATATGGTGGGATATATCCTCAAGCCACCCCTTTGCAGCAAGTTGCCTTAGCCCTTAGACAGTCACCTTCTCTTGTCAATTCAACAGTTGCTCCTGCAACAACAGCAGCAAGCACAGCAGCGAATTCTAGCGAGACCTTGTCTTATGAGGAGAAACGGCGTCTGCAGAAACGAAAGTTTCAGGAGTTACCAGTTGCTTCGAAGGGGCATGCAAACCCCCATCAGGTATCTGTGCTTACTCTCGTCCTGGAGGGTATTGCATTTTATGGCCTTTTAAGAGAACAAAGGAAGAAATAACTAGATTGAAAAAGCCCCCTCTTTCAATTTAAATTAATTAGAAGTTATAACCTGTTGAATATAAATAAAGGATGAATATTTTACAGCATTTGTCATGATTATTTCGACTATAGTAAATCTGCACCAGATTTTAAATAAAGTTTTCTTAAGACAGTATTCAGTCCCTTGAAGTGGTAAAGCATGTATGATGCTCTAGGGTTGCGAGTGAACATGACAATGATAAGCCTTCCAAATTTAATGGTGCAAAATTGTTTGAAATTTGTAAATGCATTGCATGCATCTACTCCCCTCCCTTCTCTTCCCTTGAAATGTTGGTGGTTTATTTTCGACAATAGTAAATCTGCACCAGATTTTAAATAAAGTTTTCTTAAGACAGTATCCAGTCCCTTGAAGTGGTAAAGCATGTATGATGCTCTAGGGTTGCGAGTGAACATGACAATGATAAGCCTTCCAAATTTAATGGTGCAAAATTGTTTGAAATTTGTAAATGCATTGCATGCATCTACTCCCCTCCCTTCTCTTCCCTTGAAATGTTGGTGGTTTATTTGTTACATTACATAATTGAAAGATATGTTTACTTTTGATTTTAATGAAACTATGGCCCTTGATCCAGTGGAATGGCAAAACTGAAGTCATGTTGCCGGCCCCAAGTAGTTGGGAATAAGGCTTTGCTGAGTTGTGTTGAGTACATAATTGTATCACTTTTTCATGCTTGGTATTACGAAACAAATGGAAATGGATCATAAAAAGTAGTTAGTAATTTAGGGAGGGCAAAAAAGCTAATTGGGCTTTGTTTTAAAGTTGTCATTGATCAATAGAGGCTGCTACCGGATCCTTTTTTTTGCCGTTGGGTTCTTGTTGTTTGCAGCTTCGAAGTCAAGGGTCAAAGATTTGTTGTCTGGTTTCACAACTTGGGTTGTGAATTCTTTTCTGACCTTGATCAGTTGGTTCCATTATTTTTCATTTGCATTTTGGGTCTAGGAGTGGCCTAATTAAGAGTTCTCTCTCTCTCTCTCTCTCACGGAATTGCATGAAACTCAATCATAATCCAACTTTTCCCCCCCCTATTATTCTTCATCTAATAATGAGGATGATAATCTAGGTCCACTAAACAATTTTTTATATTTCTAAATTTTCCTATTGAATTTCAATATTATTCATTCTGACTTCTACCACTTATTATTCCAGGTATTTTCTCTGACCTTGTATGAAGCTAACAGGCTGATACTGGACCTCTGTTGGACCGTTTCTATGTTTCACAGGGATTTCTATTATGAAGGTGGCATGGGATTGGTGCATGCTGCTCCAATGCTTTGATCCAGAACTGATTCCAGAATTTTTGCTGCTTGATTTTAAACTGCTTCTGTGGCATGAATTCCAAGCACACGTATTCATATTACGATTCATGTTCATATGGGATCTGAGATGAATTTTTACATATTGGTTGTTAGGCTAGTACATAACGCACAACCCTCCTTAGCAGGGCTTGGGACTAAAAGATTAAATTCTAGCACGACATAGGCGGAGTTAAACCACACACCTGCACCATTTTTAATTTTTTTTTTAACAATAGCAGATTTTGGAAATGAAGACATGTTTTGTTAGTACAACAGCCATGTCTGTATCTGTCTTGCCCTTGTTCCACAACTTGACGTGGAAGTAAAAATACTGTTTCTGCATCTGGGCCTATTATTGCTAGATCACTCTATATCAACAATTGGTGGTGAACTTGATGAATGTACCTAGACCAACACTTAAACGTGTATGGACTACGTCAGCTCAAGTTTGCACCTATTGAAATACCCTTCTATTTATTTCCATTAACATCTGATTACCTTCCATTCATCTCACGTGTTAGTTGCCACTTTTTTGTATCTTACTTTGCTGCTGCCTTCTTCTTCTTCCTTTTTTTTTTTTTTTTTTTTTTCATTTTTGGTAATTGGATTTATTCTATCTTTATTCTACCTTTACTGAGGAATCAGGTTGGATTCTTTTCTCATAACTCATTACAGGGTTCAAAATTTCAGAAGGCAGGTGAACCAACACCAGATTTGGGGGTAAGAAACATTTCAACAATGCAGGCTCCAAAAAAGTTGGTCCAGCAATCAGTCAATGGAATGGTTTTGCCCCCTCCCCGGTCCATGCCCCCGCCACCACCACCACCAAAATTCAATTCACCAGTGCTTCCCTCAAAAGTTCATGAGAAGAGTGTTCTGAATAAATCAAAACTTGAAAGCGTCCCTGGTAGTTTTTTAAATTCGCTCTACTGGTGTCTTATAGTTCAAATTGAACCTTTCATCATGATGAATGTTTGAGATGCATAAAAAAAACTTGAATGCTATATAATGCTTCTCACACTTTTGTTAAATGCAATGCTGCTGTTTGGTTGTTTCAGATACTTTGATCAAGCTAATGGAATATGGAGAGGAAGATGATGAACCTGATGAAATAACTGAAGCACCATACAAAAGCAACTCAAATGGATCGGCAGCTCCAAAACCATTTTGGGCTGTATGAGCATCAAGTTGCATCTGACTGGTTGGTTCTGGGCATGGCGTTAACACACAAAGTGTTTTAATTTGTTTTGGATTGGAGGTTGGGAAGGGCAAAAAATGCATGCTTGTTAGCCAGCTGGCATGAATTATTGATGGAAATCAAAATGCAACAGCTTTGTGAAGTATAAAATTAGAGGTTGCTAGCCTGTTGGTCTGTGCTTCTCAGCCTTAGCATCGTGCACAAGCATTGTGGGGCGGGGAGAACTGTGTTGTATTCTGGCCATTGTAACTATATGGTTGTACAATCAGGCAGAGTGAGTAGCCTTTTTTGTTTCGTTTCGTTTTATTTTTTTGCTTTTCGCTTTGGTAATTGAGTTGAATTAAAGTTACAAATCGGTGGTGTTACATGCACCAATTAGTATACTAATTAGTGTACCAACACTAGTTATGATATTATTATTGACTCCACACATTAATTACATTACAAATACTAAAAACTTCTTAAATTATGTAACATCATCAATTGGTATTTTAGTTAGTACACTAATTGGGGTATATAGAATTATTCGGTACAAATAGTGTTTTCGAAATGCAATAATCAATCGAGATGAGGCAGTGTTAAATACTAAGTCATTGGCAGTGCTGCCATCATTCAACTTGCATAGGGAATTGCTGAAAAAACACGAGTTTTAGTTTGAGAAAGGTGGGAATCTGCTAATAGAGTGATTTTTAACACTAGTAGCCCTTTTGAGACGGGGTATAACGCAACCTCACTCATTCATCCTTATGGGACAATCTTGTTACAAATAAATAAAAAGGCGAACTTCACTTTATCCCTCTATGGTTTAAGTTGTGTGGATTATCCTCATGATTTTTGAATATCACTATTCACTACGTAACCTCCCTGTGGTTGATGGAGTAAAGTGCACTGTTAGCTTTTCTGTGTATTCTAACTGCACGCGAATGTGGTGCTGCTGGACATGAAAATATAATTTTTTCTCTGAAATAAATGTCTTTATTTTCATCATAAATTTTCAAAGAATACTCTCATATTATTTTCTTCATCTTCATCATTAGATCTGGAAATATGATGATTTTGATTTTGTTTTCTTTCTCTTCATTTCTTATCATTTCTTACCAAATCACTCAATTAATTATATTCATCAAATAAAGAAATCATAGAATTTAAATCAAAACCTAAAATCCCAAATGAGCAATTTAATTTTATTTCAAAACCTAAACTACAATCATAATTCATGAACACCAAAAAATAGAAATTAAAGATTTTATGCTCCTTTGAAAGGAAAGCAAGAAGGAGAATTTGATTCGAATTCGAAAATACTGCACAGAGAGAGAGAGAGAGAAGTGATTGTTCGTTATCATAGAGATCGAAGAAGAGGGAGGAGTTTGCGGCGATGACGGTGGTGGTGGATGACAGTGAGAGTCCGAACCTGGCGGCGTTTGGTCGGGGAGTTTCCAGATCTAGATCCGTCGGGTGTGGAAGCAAGAGCTTTTACTGGGTTTCATCACTTCCTCGTCCTTTTCATGTTCTTACTGGGTTTCATCTTCAATTGAAGAAAATACTCACTTGTGTCTGTTTGATTCTTCTGCCCAGTTCAGTCAACCTAACACAAACATATTTATTCAGCATAGCAGGAAGAAAAATAGAAAAATCTGAACGGTAGCCCCAAATTTTAGTTGGCTGTGATTAAGTATAGTAGGTTGTGGTGATTGAAGAAGAAGCGACCGATTAGAAAATTTTCTGGTTATTCAATTTTCTTAGGATTGGTAAGTTTATTTGGTTTATCCAATTTTGTTGGTACTGATATGGAGATGAAATAGAATATATATAGTGGTTGATCTTGGTTCATTTTCATTGTTGGATTTCTGTTAGTGCAATCTTAAAGGGCAGCTGTTGATTATATTGTGGTCACATGTAAATTGTTGTGCAAAAGCCAACTATTCACCATGCTCACCAATTGAAGAAGCAAGTCAGCTTGATCTTCATTGAAATCAAATAAGGTTATATATACATATATACATATATATAGTTACAAATTATATACATTGGATTCCATTGGAAAGGTTGCTAACTTGCTCCATTTCTTCCTTCTTTTTTTCTCTCTCTTTCTCTATTTCTCTCTCTAGATTGATGTGTTACTATCATAAGAAATTAAGAGAAAGAGAACAAAATCAAAATCATCACATTTCTCCTACTGTAAATGTGATGATTTATTTTGTGACTGAAAATGTGATGATTTTGTGTGAATTGATGTGATGATGTTTAGAAGGACTTTTGTGATTTAAAAGCAGAATGATTTTGTAACTCTTAGATTATTACAAGAGAGGAGCAGTTGAAATGTCAACAAAATCCCACCTCAATGAGATCTGGTGATGAACCATTTAGTTTAATAACATTGCAAGGATGCGGTTTAGATACTTCATTTGATTTTTACTTCACTGTAAGAGTTATATATACAAGGATAAATTAGTCTTTTTACGTTTGTCATTAACGGTGTTAACTGTGCACTTTACTCTATCAATCACAGAGGATTATGTGGTGATATTCAAACGCTAGGGGTAATCTGCACATGACCTAAACCATAATGCTGTGTTTGGTTGGGAGATTTGGAGAGGGATTTGGAAAGGGAAAAGGAAAAGGTGTGTAAAACTAGAGAAAAAGTGTGTGAAACTAGGTGAAATGTAGGCATATTTTATTCCCATTTCACCTAACTTTTCCCTTTCCTTTTCTAAATCCCTCCTCAAATCCTCCTACCAAACACAGCGTAAGAGGGTAAAATAAAATTTGCTTTAAATAAAAATCATCAAGAATACAACCCATCTTCTCTTTTTTAAAATCCGTTGATTGACAAAGGAAGTTTCTTTGTTTTTAAAATAAAAAATAAAAATAAATGGGAGTTTCTTAAATTTATTTATTTGTTATTTTAAATTTTCTTATTTGGTGATCATAAATGACTTATCAACAAGATGGTGGTTTTCTCAGCCACATAATATTTGTGATAGGCTAGCTTTGAACTTGGTTTTTAGCAAACAAATATCTCAATCAAGATTGCAGACAACTATGTACTCTGGACCTACAAAGACTTAGTATAAGGTTGGACAGAAAGCAACCTCCTTCACAATTTCCCTATTTGAAGTTGTGGACACGAAAAGCTCAATAGAAACATGCTTTACTTGAGGGATATTAACAAGGTCTCATCAGAAAAGCAGTCCCCATTCAAACTGCCAAAGCTTCTGGTTTCGATGTACTTGCCATTTTTATTTATTTATTTATTTTTTCCAGAGAGTTGGATACGAATAGGTTTACCGATCAGAATTATAACGATTTTTTCTCCGTTTGGGGCTTGGAAAGGAAGAACACAAGATTGCCAATGGGAATGAGTTTTTTCATATTTACTGAGAGAAATTTGAATTTTTGCTAGTGACTTGCCAAACTTGAATTCAGAAAAAACTTATTTCGCAATTTAACTAGAATTCAAAAAATAAAATAAAATAAAATTTCAAGAGTGTTTGAATTTTGAGAAATATGTTTTAAAATCACTTACGTTTATTAAAAGACTCCTAGAAGATACATGCCAGAGTAGGCAATTGTTATTATTCAAAGAACATGTAAGTTCATCAAAAGTTAGGCCTTTTTGGTGGATGTGATTTACAGTCTTTGGACTTGTTTATGCTCAAATAAATATACAGAATCTGACAACACTGACAAATAGATGCAACCAAAGCCACCGCATACAAAATTCAAACAATCTCTGCTTATACATCAATTTCTATTATCACAAAAAAGATAATACAATAGATTACAACACTGGAACTCTTGCATCCTTGTTACATTACTGAAATTTTCTCTATGAGAGAGAGAGAGAGAGTCCTAAACTAGTATACCCATTATGATAGGAAAACTCTTATCACCGATGCTGTCAATCACTTCCTGTGAAAACTGTGTAATGATCTTGGAGACCCCTCAAACAGATCCAACAAGTAATTCTCCAAATCATCAGCACTATACTTGATGTTCTTTTCACTAAGATGGCTTGTATGTCTTCCCACAAATGTCCTATAAGCTTGAATCACCTTGAGTGATGTCGAGATTCTCAGATCTTCTCTAAGCTGTGTATCCGGGATTAACCATCCAGTTTGACTCTTATAAACCTCTTCAAAAGCAACATAAAAGCTCTGCAGCCTCTCCTTGAGCAGAGTCTTCGATACAGAATTCGAACCAGGATAGTGAATTCCCTCATCTTTCAGCAAAGACAGGATTGAACTCCATGTGGCTCGCTCATAATTCATCGCGTGCTGTTGAAACTTCCAATTACGCTTGCGAATCCATTCATCCCCTAAGATAGTTCTTAGCTCTGAACCCTTAACTTTTTCAGCCATGTAATGTATGTTATTCATCAAAAAGAGGTGTTGAAGAGAATCATCCTTGTATAATTTGGACTTGTCATCAAGGTTGCATTCTAGAATTGAAATGAGGGATCGGAAGTGGCAAGCCATTGGCGAGACAAAGCGAGACGAGCTTCCACTTACACTATCATCCTCGGAAACTGGACTCAAGTCAGGCGAAAGCGAAACTGCAAAGTCTCTATCGGGATCCTTGAGGACCAAATCAAGGGTCTCACTGTAATCAGTGAGAGCCCTGATGTAATTCATCACATATCTACTAATGTGGTGGATTCCACCACCAGCGAAAGCGTTTGTCGATATGTTTGATGCCACAGCATTTTCAAATTCAATGAATGTTGCCTTCGCACAATAGCCCAGTTGACTAATGACGTGTTGGCATTCGGTTCTCACAAAAGAACCGACCTCATTGATGTATAAAGCATCAATATCAGGACTAAGATCCACCAACACCTCATGCATGCTAAGAATACGATGCAACTTCTCTGGTTGGTGAGGTCCAATGGCTATGGCTTCAGCAAAATTCAAAAGCTGCAACATTGAAGCCTTCGACGCCTCAGCAAAGCAAATTGAACTAGTTGTATCAAGATCTCCAAAGATTTGATCACTCAACCATTTCTCACTAGCAAGATAGACTTGCACGAAGATCTTCATAGCCCGCGTCCATCTTCTGATTTTGGAATTCAGGGTACCCCATTCCATCCTCAACACATCCTCGATGCTTAGCTTCTCCACATCGAGTATGAACAGACAATCATCCAAGGCATCTTTCCGGATGCTAATAAAGGCCTGAGTGCATTCCTGATCGTAATTCGCATTAAACATCAAATTGGCAATGCATTTGAGGTCAGGAATTATATGTGGATTGACCAAATCAACAATGAATTCCTCAGAGCTTCTGCTGATACTGTCTCTCTGAAGCACGTCCTCAACTGAGTAATCCCCAAAAGAAAGAACCGATCCCTCATCCACAACATCTTCTTCATTAGAACGAAAAGAGACGTGCTCAGGCTCAAAGGGTTGTCTGTTCTGAACAAGCATATGCTTGAACTCATCCTCAAGCCTTGCCATAGCTGTCTGGAGAACATCATGAGCCCTAAGAAGAAGCTCGTTTTCCTCACTATCTCTATTCAAACACAAACTCTCTAAAGTTTCAGTCAATTTTCGGGTTTCCTCCACCGTCTTTACGTACTCATAAGCTTCATCAGAACCACAATCCCATATCATAGACTGATCTACCTCCCAATTCATGATCTTATCTTGAACAACATTTAGCCTATGCTCAACCTCACTCGATCCCTCCTCATCCTTTTTTTCATGAATTTTAGTTATGGAGGACAATTGGGTGCCTAAATCTGCCAATATTTTCCTCGCATCATTGGTTAAATTCTTTCTATTCTCTAATGCCTTTACAAGGTTTTGGGCAGCAGCAATCAAATTTTCTTCTCCTTCCAACATTGGAGTTGCAGATTTGCAATCTCCCATATCATATAACAGTCCCAAGACCAACAAAAAAAAAAACACCCAAAACAGAAACCTTAAAACCAGAATCTAAAAACTACCCCTTTAGATTCATAGTGACTTGATCAATGAAAATTGGAAATTTCCCAATACAACAACCTAGGAATAAAAAATTGTGAAGATCTAAGTGTCCCATCCCAATCTCTTGGAGGGTTAGTCAAATAAAAGACATAGGAGTTATAAAAGGGAAAAATCAAAAAACTAGTACAGTATATGTCAATCACACAAATGGGTTTTTAAACTATTGCCATGAGAAAGAATCAAAGAGCTGAACATATACAAAATTTCCGACAAAATTTGATGCAAGTAACACATGCACTTTATATAAGTAACTATATATATATGTATATAATCCAAAGTAGTGATTGGGTAGAGAGAGAAAAAGGGGAAAAGAAACTGACCCTTTGGGAGTGATAATCTGAGGAAAACGTTATTCAGAGATTTGAAGCTATGAGTGTGTGGGTGGTCTCCGCAACTTTGGAGATATTTCTTTACTTTTCTTTCTTCTGCATTGCTGGGCTTTGACTTTCTAGGCTTGTAGGAAAATGAAAGAAAACATATGCTATTACCTGAAATAGTGCTTGTTTGTGAGGCAAATTACAAAAGTGCCATTCTTTTTCATATTTGTGCTTGCTCCAAAAATAATATAAAAAAAAAAAAATGACATTTTTGTCGGAAGCTCCATTGAATCTTTTTTTTTTGAACTGGACTCCATTGAATCTCGGATGATGGGGGATTTGCATTCTGTTTTATAGGGGCGAGTCAGGATTGAATTTTGGGGGTGTATTCTTTTTGCAGAGGTTTTTTTACTCTATTTCGGTTGATATTTAACTTCTTTTGTAATGTGTAAATGAGATTCATTAAATATGTCAGTGGTGAGTCGCTTTTTATAGATTAGGTTAAATTTGATCAACAATCAATTATCCTGAGAACAGGACTTGCGAATAATATGATATTCTCATAGAGCATTTTTTTTTTGATGAAAAAAAATTCTATTATGGGGGGTTTGGCAATTTGTTTTTCTTAATAATTATTTTGCTGACTTCTTTTTAGTGGATCTTTTGGGTAAATTTTAGTAAATTCTACTGATTTGAGAAATTAAAAAATGAAAAAAAAAATTATTATAAAAAAACTTATGTCGAATTTTTTTTAATGAACTATTTTTAGATTTTTTTCATTAAAAAAATTTAAAAATATAAATTTTTTAAGAGGCATTTACACACAAGTCTTAATTTATAAACTTATACTCCATTAAGTCTTAAGTAAGATTTTGTGAATCTTCAAGTTCCATTAAATTATTAATAGTCGGAATTATTTTTCAAACAATAATTATTTATTATTTATGATTATCTATAAAGGTATATAATAATGATTTGACATTTATTTTGATTTTCAAAACTTTAAAAATCAACTTTCAAATTGAAAAAATTAAAAAAAAAATATGTGCAAAAAAAAAAAAAACAAAAAACAAACGCTTTTTTTGAAAAAAATTGATTTTTTTTTTTTGTGCAAAACTGAAAATTTTATGTCTATAAAGGAGCATGATGATGGAATATTGATATGCAAAACTGGAAAAAAAATATAAAATAAAAAAATGATAATGTTCTCAATTTTATTGGATAATTGAATCAAACCAATAAGTAGAAGAGCAAAAATGTTTGATTTCATGCTCTGTTTTTTTTATCAGTTAGTAAAAAAATTATTTTGAACATTACTATGTACAATTGATAATATTCTTAATTTTAAAAATTGAAAAAAACTGATAATATTATCAGTTTTATTAAATGAAATTTATGGGTTTAAAATTTTTTAAATAGAATCTGAGCTGCCATAACATTTGTAAATAGAATTTTTAGATAATTAACTTATTATTTAATTATTGTAAGAAAAATCATTTATTACAACGCAATTTGTGATACATGCATCAATTAATATATGCACTAGTGTATCAACTAGTGTTATGTCATTATTACTGTGCTCATTTATTATACAAATTATAAATACTCAAAATCTCTAAAATTATATCATATTATCTGTTAGTATACTAGTTAATACATTAATTAATACATATAACATTATTCCAAAATTGCACCTTTTAAAGTGCAATTTAATTGCTTAACAAGGACGACAAATTCAGTATAGCATTATAGTTTAAACTCTTGAAACAATAAGAGCATCTCTAATAGAGCTGTTATTTAACCTGCCGACGCTAAAATTTGACAAGAATGGCAAAAAGAGGGTCTTTAATGGCCTGCTATTCTACTTGCCAAAGATAGCAAAGGCCATAGCTGTTCTCAAATTTAGCAAGTTGAATAGCAGCTCCCAAACTTCTCAGATCAGCAAATATCAACAGATTTTTGGCACCAAATTCAGTTCAAAAAAACAGAATTGAAACAGTAGGGAATCCAAAAAATTCAGGATCAAACCCAATTTTTAGAATCAAACCCAATTTTCTATTTTGTTGCCAAATTAACAAATTTCAAAATGAATTTGACAAATCCAAATCCGGTTTCTCTTAATTTTTATTATTATTTTTAATTATTTATCACCAAATCAGTCGATCCAAATCAGATGGTATGTATTCACAATAAACCAAACCAAATCAGATGGATATTATCACAATAAACCAAACCAAAATAGGTTTCAGTTCTTTGAAGATCAAAATAAAATAAATGGATAAACAAATATAGATGGATGAACAAAAATTAAACCAAAAATTAAAATAAATAATTAAGAAAATTTTAGCAAGTTGAATAGCAGCTCCCAAACTTGTCAGATCAGCAAATATCAACAGATTTTTAGCACCAAATTCAGTTCAAAAAAACAGAATTGAAACAGTAGGGAATCCAAAAAATTCAGGATCAAACCCAATTTTTAGAATCAAACCCAATTTTCTATTTTGTTGCCAAATTAACAAATTTCAAAATGAATTTGACAAATCCAAATCCGGTTTCTCTTAATTTTTATTATTATTTTTAATTATTTATCACCAAATCAGTCGATCCAAATCAGATGGTATGTATTCACAATAAACCAAACCAAATCAGATGGATATTATCACAATAAACCAAACCAAAATAGGTTTCAGTTCTTTGAAGATCAAAATAAAATAAATGGATAAACAAATATAGATGGATGAACAAAAATTAAACCAAAAATTAAAATAAATAATTAAGAAAATTTTAGCAAACATACCAGATTGTGTTATTTGAAGATCCTTTTGGAGATGCTTGAGTTCTTTGAAGATCTGGTTTGAATCCATCGCCAGATTTGAGTTTTAAAAATCGCGATCACCTCAGATCCACATCAACAACCAGAAAAATAAAGAAAAAATCAAAGCATATATATATAGATGGAGATCGTACCACAGAGAGAAAGAGAGAGAGAGGAAATGAGGGGCGATTATATGGAGGTGAAGACTTGGAACCAAGGACAAAACGAAAGCGAGAGAGAGAGAGATTGAAGAGTAAACATATCGGAGAGTAGAGAGATCAGTGAAGACTTGAGCTCAAGAACAGAGACATAGATAGAGAAAGACGTTTGGATGATAGAGGAGAGTGAGAGAGTGAGAGGAAGAGTGAAAACAGCTTCATAGGTAGAGAGAGAGAGAGAAAGATGTTTCGATCATGGAGGAGGAGAAGGGACTGGTTTGAAGAGAGGGAAGACAAAGAGATGAAGATGAAGAGTGAAAACAGAGAGAGAGTGAGACAAAGTGAGAGAGAGGGAGACAAAGTGAGAGGGAAGACATAGTGAAAATAGAGAGACAGAGGTTTCGAACATGAAGGAGGAGAAAAGAGAATGGTTTGAGGAGAGGGAAGACAGAGTGAGAGGGAGAGGAAGACGGTGCATATCAGTCGAAGGGAGGGTGGATGATTCTATATGGTGCATATCAACCATTGAAGTTTTATACGTGGACGGTGGAGATGCTGTCATTCTGTATAAAAAGAGCCGTTGTGCTCTGTTTTTTTTTTTTAAAAAAAAAAACATTAATTTTTTTTTTACAACAACTATCTTTAAACGACTATTTCCCCTAAACAGTAATATTTTGAATTTCTATGAATTGAAACCCTCCATGTCAATTTTATTTCATACAAACATTTGGATTTAATTTTTCTTTTCTCCTCTCTTCTCTGAATTTGATTTCATAGCAAACCTCTAGATTTAATTGGTGATTGTTTATTTTTTGTGTAGTTAAAAAAATTTATTAAATATGTAGTGTTATGTTTTTTGGTGGGGTGAATTATATTTTTTTTCTTCCAATTTTTCATTTTTATATTTGTCTAGTTGGGAATAATATAAATATATAATTTTTTTTTTACAAAGAGGTAAAAAAATGTTACAAAAGACAAAAAATAAACAAAAATAAAATCACAAAAAAACTTATAGCCAAACAATACCTACAAATTTTGAGGGAAAGTTGGTTGAGATTTGCCAAAATAACAAACGACCATTGGAGCACCATTGCTATAATTTGGCAAAATAACACTATTCATTGTCAAATTATAACAATAGCAATGACATTATAGCAATAATAGTTGGGGATGTTCTAACATGTGATACTTCAAGACAAGTTCAAGAGTATATTAGGGCTATTTGTCACCATTTTTATGGAGTAAATATAATTTATTTTAATTTGGAAGTCTGTATTAAATTGTTTGATATAATTTTTTACACGAAAATAATTTAAATAAATTATAAAAAAAATTAATTATTTGAAAGTTAAAAAGAATTTTTTTTAATTTTTATTTTAACTTAAAAGAAATTCACTAAACCACGCCATTATTTTGTTTCACTACAAAAAAAATTATTTTTTGCCGTCTCCCGCACGCCGTCTCAAAAGCTACTTGCGACGGTAATTTTTCTTTTTGCGACGGGAAGTGGGGGTCGCAACAAAGGGGGTTGCAAAAGAGCTTTAGCGATGCCGTCGCCATTGTATTTGCGACGGGAAATTTTCTTTTTTGCGACGGCAATTTTCTGTCGCCAATAATGGATGAAAATCTGGGTTTTTTTGCGACGGCACAAGCTTTCCGTCGCTAAAATAGGTTTGTGCGACGGCAAAAATCCCGTCGCTAAAAAATGTCGTCGCTTTTGACTATTGTCGACGGCAACCTGAGCCGTCGCTAATGACTATTGGCGACGGCAATTATACAGTCGCTAAAGCCTTGTTTTTCAATAAATTCCATACCTTTTGCGACAGTATGGCTGCCGTCGCAAAAAGCCTGGCACTTTTTTTTTTGCGACGGGGTGTGCTGCCGTCTCTTGCGACTGGATGTGCTGCCGTCTCAAAAAAAATTTAAAAAAAAAACCCTGTTTTACAATTATTAAAAATATAAAAATAACCTGTAATGTTGGCAAATGATATGATAATATAAATACATAAATAAAATAACTAATGTTGGCAAATGAAAAATAACTACAAAAAAATCCAAAAATTACATAATAATATAAATACATACATAAACAAAAGTTGGCAAATGATGAAAATACATAATGTTGGTCACATGATACATACATA